TCGCTGCGCCAGTTGTTGGAATAAGTTCTTCCTTGATCCTGCTCACAGCGCCAATTGTGGGAGTACTTACTCCTTGATTCTGCTCAACTATGCCAACTGTGGGGCCTCAGTTCCCCTGCCAGCAACTAGACCTTTATGGATGCTGGGTAGTGGATGGAGAAGATGTGAGAAGTCACAGGCTCATAGGCGTGTAAGAGAGTCTTTATTATCGTCTAAGTAGCCATTGCTACTAAGTAGCCATCAGACAAAGCCTTTCTTCAAAGGAGCCTCACACAGTAGCTGCTGCTAACATAGCAGCCATTGCAAACACAGTAGTAAACGCAGGAGCCATACCAAGCAGCCACACGATGGCTGGTCAGTAACACATCTTTACAGTAACTTAGAGAAAAGAGGCTTCTTTCCAAATAGCGACACCAGTCTTTGGGGTTATAGAAGGGCAGGCCTGCGTAGTACAGTAAGATAGCTGTGTCCTTGCTTTTGCACCTGCATATAGCAGATTCGCCTTGAACACTCTGATAGGATTCCCACGCTCAGATTGGCCTTGAACATCCGGCGCACTATAGACAGGGTTCCCACAGAAGGAAAGTAACAATAATTTGTGATGCACCTTTTCTGCTTCACATAAACTCATCATTGCACCGTTGTCCGGAAGCATCCTAAATATTCATCAGTAGCACACTTATTAACATGGAACATCTGGGCAATGGAATAGTATAAAGCCATTAAAAGTGTGGCTGTTCATTTTTTTAATGGCTATTCTTTTTAATACTGATGTTCTGTGTCAGAACTGCATGAGTTCTAAGGTGTAGGTACAGATGTATTTTTTAAAAACAAGGTTTAGAAGAGTGCTACCGTTTTGGCACAAATGTTTTTACATTTTAAAATGCCAAAACTTGTTGGCACAATCTCCATCATAATACAGCCTTCCCTTGGTATTGGTGGGGGTTGGTTCCAGGAACCTCCACCGATACCAAACCCCACAAGAGCTCAAGTCCCTTATATAAAATGGTGGAGTGTTTGCATAGAACCTACACACATCCTCCCACATACCTTAAAGCATCTCTAGATTACTTAAAATACCTAATACAATGCAAGTGCTATGTAAATAGTCATTAGGCTGTATTGTTGAGGGAATAATGACAAGAAAAGTCTGTTCATGTTCCGTGGGCCTGTGTAGTACACGTCTGCAATAGCAGAACATGTTTTTTCGAATATGTTCAACTCACACTTGCTTGAATCTGCAAATGCAGAAACCACGGATAGGGAGGGCCAACTGCAGTTAAGATCATTAACCCCACGCAGAAGATCGCTGGTAATCCTGACACTACAAAACACCGGAGCTGCCTCTCAGAGCCACGTGTTCTCCGCTGGAGGCAGAACAAGGCAGCAGCAGTTCTCAAAGGCCCACTCTCAGGGGCTGTGGAAAGCCGGGTGGTGACTCCAGTGTCAGGGCTCCAGGGTGCCTCAGATTGTCAGCACCTTTCTCCTCTGGAGGCTGGAGCCCAGGGAGATGCCTGGGTAGCTCAGGTGCAGTCTTCAGTTAGGGAACAAATTCTCTTTTTCCCTCCTCTAAGCAACTCTTTCATGGAGCCAAATGGCAAGCCTTTGAATGTGAGAAAAATGCACACCTGGCTATTTTTTACTTATTTATCATTTAGGCCCCATATAATTAGAAAAAACTAAATGTGAGGGAGTGTTGCTAAATTTATGGATAATATAAAACCTGAAAAGTACCGTAAAAGCAGATTGGGATCCAGTAAAGCGGCTATACACTGGTTGTTAGCGATTCCTAGTTTCTGGGTAAGTTAATGACTGCAGTTGAGCACTGATTTTAGCTTTGCATTTCTTGGCACATGAGGTAAAAAGGGGAATATAAAGTATATGGTTCTTTTAATATGAAGCCAGAAAATAGGAAGTTTTGCCTACGGGAAAGGATATTTCCTGATACTCAACTCAAGAAGGAAATTCAAATACAGATCCTTATTAAAAACTAGTGACCTGGTGCACAAAATTTGTGCACATTAAAAGGGAATTAATTAGAGGAAATATTTTAATATTGCTATTTGCCCTTTCTCTATAATAGAAGTATCAGAGATGAAAGAAAATTAGTAAAATGTATATGAAAATCTTCCTCCTGTCAGTGCCATGGGAACCAGAGTCAAGAACCCACCCACCTACGTGCACTTCAAAATTGCATGAGACCCAGACCCAGCTGGCCCCACCCCCATTGGGCTAGACCAGCCGTGGGCAAACTATGGCCCGCGGGCCGGATCCGGCCTGTTTGAAATGAATAAAAAAAAAAAAAAAAAAGACCGTACCCTTTTATGTAATGATGTTTACTTTGAATTTATATTAGTTCACACAAACACTCCATCCATGCTTTTGTTCCGGCCCTCCGGTCCAGTTTAAGAACCCATTGTGGCCCTCGAGTCAAAAAGTTTGCCCACCCCTGGGCTAGACCCAGACCCGACCGGCCCCACCCCCATCAAGCCCCACTGGGTGGGGGGCGCAGCCTCAGGTCCCTGCTGATTGCTCATTAAGGCTCGTTATGGGAACTCAGCCTCCACTGTGGGCGCAGCCATCTTGTGTTACGGAATCCCTGCCTCCGTTATGGGCGCATCCATCTTGACCGTTATGGTGTGACGGTCAATTTACATATTCCCTCTTTATTAGATAAGATATGGAGAAATTGACTTGGGTCTTCATGGTGGTTGGTTAGTGCCCGTCGAGGTATTGAAACTAGCCAGTCACAATGTGCCAAACCTCTCAAAACATGTATCGTCTCATCTGTATGTCAGGTCTCATTGTCTGTGTCTCACCAGTCACCACAGTCGTCCAGCTCTCCTCTCTCATTCGACTGCTTAAGGCCTCCTGCCACACCTCTCCATTCACACTCACACCCCCCCCCCCCCCCCGTAACTTCTCCGGGCTGTGATCAGGGCTGACTTTAGAGGATACAGGTCTGATTATACCCCATCACTGTCTCCATCCCATGTGCTTACAACTCTCACGTCCCTCTGGTTAGGATAAGACCCAAACCTTCCCACCTCCCCAGCCTCTTCTGCCACCCTTTCTCCCTTGCTATCTGTTCCAGCCTTTTTTCATTCCTTGTTTCCCACCATGTGCCCTTGGAACATGGCCTCTCTCTCACCACATGCTCTGCCTGCCTCAGCCAGCAGTTCTTCCTTTGGGTCTGAGCTGCATCATCCTCCGAGCCTCCCTGACTCCGAGGGCCCCGCTGCACTGTTGTTTGTTCTCCTGTCCCTCTGTGCCTCTCTCAAGAGTGCTTATCTCCGTTGTGATGTCCTCCCAACTAAACAGGAGTTGGCTCAGCTGTTGTTTTGTTGCTGTTAATCCTCATCCAAGGATATTTGTCCATTGATTTTTAGAGAGAGTGAAAGGGAGGGGGAGAGACAGAGAGAGAAACATCCATGTGAGAGAGACACATCAGTTGGCTGCCTCCCACACGAGCCCCAACCAGAGCTAGGGATAGAGCCTGCAGCCGAGGTGCGGAAGCAAACCTGGGACCCTTCAGTCTGCGGACCGATGCTCTATCCACTGAACCAAACCAGTTAGGGCAGCTGTGCTCACTCTTTGATCCCAGCTTCACATCCCCTACCTGATGAGCAGTAGGGGGTCAGGAGATATTCAAGAGAAAGGAACCATCTATCAGTACCATCCATACACCTAGATGCGAGCCTCCCAGCCTCTTCCTGAAGCACGGTTCTGATCACGTCGTTTCCTTGTGCCAAAACTTTCAAGAAGTCCCCATTTCCTGCAAGGTAAAATCCACACCCTTTATTTAGCCCTCCACAAGCTGGGTCCAGTTGTATTTCTAAACTTGCACTTTTGACATGATACTGATTTTCTATCTAAATTATAACTATTTCATGTATGTATCTCCCACATAAGGTTGTAGTCAAGTCCTTCCTATATAGTGTCTAGCATGAGCCTTACATAGTAGGTACTCATAAAAATGTGTTAAATGTATGGAGGCTTATGTTAAATAATCGCATCTTTGTAAGTGAGGGTTTAATGGCAACCAATTTCCCTCTAGATGCTTAATTTATAGTAAAGTTTCTGTTTTGTTTGTTTTTAAATCTACACTAATAAAAGAGAAAAATGGTAATTGGCGTACGACCGCTACATCAATGATGAGAGAGAATCATTGATTGGCTGCCTCTTGCACGCCCTCCACTGGGGATTGAGCCTGCAACCCAGGCATGTGCCCTTGACCGGAATCGAATCCCGGGACCCTTCAGTTCGCAGGCCAACGCTCTAGCCATTAAACCAAACCGCCTAGGACCTGTTTTTAAATATGTAGCAAATGGCCAGTCAGCTGTCAACTCTCCTGTTCTTTTAAATATCTCTAAAGATGAGTGAATCTGAATTCAGTTCATATACGCTTGACCCTGGAACAACATGGGTTTGAACTGCACGGGTCCACTTATACACAGATTTGTTTCAACAAATGTTGTAATGTATTTTCTCTTCCTTATGATTCTTTATTTTTTCTCTAACTTACTTTACTGTAAGAATACAGTATATAATAAATGTACAAAGTAAATGTTAATCAATCGTTTATGTTGTCAGTAAGGCTTTTGGTCAATAGTAGGTATTCGTAAAGTTTGGGGGGAGTTAAAAGTTGTATGTGGATTTTCAACTGTGCAGGAGACAGAGCCTCTAATTCCCATGTTGTTCAAGGGTCAACTATACATTTGTAAAGACCACATGGATCTTCTCTTACAAGGATACAGCATTACTTTGATACAGAATGCCAGAAAGTAAAGCAAAATAGATTCATGTAGCTTGTCATTTCCAGGGAAGACCGCCCAAATTAGTACTCTCTTCCACAAAGTGACCAATGAGCCAGCACACTTGTTTCCAGATGAGCATCACCTCCGCGCCTCCACTCAGGAGGTCGGACCCTGACCGCTATGGCTGGTTGCCATGACTCCTGCAATGAGAGCATAACCCTCACCTCCATTTCCTTCCAACAGGCCGATTTAAACTGCAATATTCAAGATGATGCCGGAGCTTTTTACTGTGTAACCAGTCAGTATGAGAGTTCTGAAAACATGACAGTCACCTGTTCCACCAAAGTTTGCTCCTTTGGGAAGCAAGTAGTAGAAAAAGTAGAGGTAAGTTGGCCTCTGTATCCTGGAACCTTCTTTCAGGGCCAGACTATTGCTGTCCTTTAAATCTTTCTGGGGTAGAGTTTTACCTTTTTTTTTGGTGTCTCTTCCTTCTGACCCACCCCCCACCCCCATTACTTCTAAAAAGGCAAAATGGTTTGAAAGTAACTGAAAGAAGGCCAGGAGGAAGTCCCACGCCAGCCCTCTTGACTGTTGAAGTTGGCCCTGCCGTCCCAGCCAGCAGTGTTTTAGTCCCGGAGGAGGCCTCATTGGGGGTGGCCTGGTGTGGAAGCTGCCACCCATCAGATGAAGCCTCGCCACCTACCCCATGTCCGAGGGCACTCCCAGCCAGTGGAATGCGACTGATGGACCCTGGCCTTCTAAACCCCGATACCTTCCGTTTGGTGGTGTTGCTTTTGCCATTTCTACCCCTTCCATTATATTGGTTTTAACCCATTGTGTGCCATACACGTCTGTAGATGCAAGCGGTGGACCTTCCCCACATGCTATGCATGTCCATAAAAAAGAAATGTTTTCCCTAAGTGGCAGCTTTAAAATCATTTTTCGTGAGAATTTTTGGCTGAAAATATTCAAGAACACCCAAATTATAAGATACTTATTTTTATAATAATCATTTCAAATTGATTTTTTAAATTAAATTGTAAATACTGTGGCGTGTGGGGATGGTTTCTGTTTTGGACGCGTGGCAGTTAACTGGTTAAGTCTATTCTAGTACAAACTGGGACTAAATACCTATTTTTGGCTTTGTAATTTTAAGCTTCCATTTCTTTGAAAAAAAAATATATGTTTGGTTGCTTAGTATGAATGATATTTGTAGTTGACATTCCATTTAAGGTTTTTTTCAGTGTTTCTGCTCATCGCCCAATGGATCCATGTTCAGTGAGAAACTTTTGTTTATAGCAGCTCTGGACCTCGAAGGTCCAGGAGCCCACCTGACTGTGACAGAGACTTTGTGCTGAGGCGAGAAAAAAAGGGAGGGAGGGAGGGAGAGAGAGAGAGAGACAGAGAGAGAGGGAGATATTGGGGAGTGAGAAGGAGGAAGGGTGGTTCATTTAAGCTTAGGGGTCATGAGCTTTACTAAACTGGTGGTAGTGGGAACCCAGTAAGATATTTTGAGTGGAACTTAGAAACCGCCTGCATATTTAAGATTAAAGAGGAGGAAAAGTCAAAGGTCATACACTTTATCCTCGGAAGGACGGTGTTTTCGAGAGGAAATAGGGCACGATAACCGACCGACGCAAGGCTGAAATTTGGGAGACAGGTAAAGACTGAAACTATTAATTGGGAAGTCTAAGCATGAAGGATAAAGATGGGAATGGGGACTTAGCTGCAGAGAGAGAATAGCCAGAGCATAGAAATAAGGAGTCAGTTTGGGAGCAGCAGCCAGCCCTGCAGGGGCTGGAAGGGAGGCACAAACAAAGGAGCAGAGGGCAAAAATAGAGGAGGGAGGAGGGAGCCGAGTCAGGACCGTGTCTGGGAAGCTTGGGGAAGGGTGGGTGGGAAGGTGGCTATGTAATGAGCCAAATCCGGATGGCCTAGAACTTGCTCACCTCCATCTCCTCTGAGGAGGAGGAAGCAACGTTACCTGCCCGTGGTTGGGAACCTGGAAGGTCAGTGCTGGGCACTGCTACCCAATAGCCAATTTTCAGGGCTTATCTGTAAGTGGACATCTTGCCTCGACAGGTGCATGTGAGGAAAGGTGAACCAGACAAGTTAGTTTCCCAGATTTCAAATTATTCTTCATGTGTCCTCAGATAACACACCCAAAGCTCTCTCTTACTTAGTTCAGGGGCCAGGGAAAGGTTGCTTTTGACTGATGAAGTCTCAGGAATTTCCACAGAGAAGGTAGTATGAGTGCGGCAGGTGGAGTTTTATAATTAAACCTTTAACCCATTTAGAATGCATTTCCGTATTATGTGTGTAGGGGGAGTCTGCTTATATTTTCTCCCAAATAGATAGGTATCTGTTGAAAACCACTTATTAAATGATTCATCCTTTTCCAACTGAATGGATCTGTGCCCTTGATGTTACCACATAAACTGGGCGCTGTCTCTGGCATCTCTCTATTCTCTCCACCCTGTATCTCCACATGTCCCAATGCCACGCTTACTTCATTACAATGGCCTTGTGGTAGGTTCTGATATCTGCTGAGGAAGTCGGTTTCACCCATCTTCTTTTTATATATTTTCTAGGTTAGTAACCAGCATTCATTCTTCCAAGTAATGAGATTGTTTTAAAAATGTAAAGAGAAACAAAATCCTATTTGAGCAATCTAATTGTAATTGCATTTGATTTTGATATTATTTTGGGATAAATTGATATGTAATTGATATTCAATCTTTCCAATCAAGAGCCTATTTGTGTTTCCATCTAATTTTATCTATTTTAATAAGAGTTTATAGTTTAGATATGTATAGATTTATTCCTTTCTGGATAGTATATATTTCTAAGTATTACAAAATTGGTTAAATACAATTTTCCATTTCTAGATTTTGATTACTAGAAGAGAGAAAAGTTCTTGGTTTTTTTATATCTATTTTCTTTCAAAACATTTTGCCCCTCATTTATCTCTGGTCATTTTCCCCTAGATTCATGGGTTTTCTCTGTATATAATCTTATTGGCAGTTTTATTTTATCGCTTCTTTTCCAATTTTTATGCCAGTTTTTTAAATTATTATTTTCTCACCTTTTAGTTTGCTAAAACCTCCTACACAGTTGTAAAAAGAAATAGTGATCTATAAGTAATAGTGTCCTTGTATAGTTCCTGATGTTAGTAGACATGTTTTGGGTGTTTTTCCACGTAGGATATTTATTCTTGGTTTTTATAAATGGTCTTTATTTTACATTTAAGTGGTTTCTTTCTATAATTATTTTATTTAGGGTTTTTTTATTAGTAGTAGCTGCAATATTTTATCAAATGCCTTTTCAGCAACTCTCTAACTATATGATTTTTCTCCCATTTGTTGACATCACAAGTTAACACGCATCCTGTGTGTGCACCACCACAGCATTCCTGAAGAAAGTCCTACTTTGGTTACATTGATTCACTCTATTTGCTGTTTTACATAGCATTTTTGCATCTTAGCCTGTGCTTTCTTTTTTTATCTCTTTATCAAATTTCGGTATTGAATGTATATTAGTTTCATAAAATAAGTGGGACACCTCCCTTTTTCAGAAACATTGAAAATAACTATTCTTTAAAGGTTACATGGAACTTGGCTGTGAAACCATCTGGTCTTTGTACCCTTTTCAACGGTATATCTCTAAACAACTTTCTAGTCATTTCCACAGTCACCGACCAGTTGAAGTTTTCTACTTAAAAGGAATCGGTATTAGCAATTTGTATTTTGCTAGGAAGGCACCCTACCCTCTAGGTTTTCTCTGCTATTTTTGCTCTTAGAGTTATGTGAAGTAACCTTATAAATCTTCTAATCTCACTGTAATTGTGGTTTTGTCTCTTTTCTTTTTTCTCCTTAAGCTTGTGAAGAGTTTATTTTATTTAGTCTTTTTTTTAAAGAACCAGTTTTTATATTTATTCTGTCTGCATTTTTAATTTTGATTATATTGATTTGCACTTTTATCTTTATTAATTTCCTACTCCTGATTTCTTTTGCTTTTCCTGTGGTTTTGGTTTGCTGTGTGAGGTTGTAATTTTTTAAAGATGTGCATTTAGTTCTGAACTTGTTCATCTTTCATGATGAAGACGTGAAGCTGCTTCATTAAGTTTCCTCCACTGGAGCTTCATTGCATCCCTTAGTTTTGATGTATTTTCCTTTTCATTACTCTTTGGATAGTTTGTAATTTTATTTTAATTCCTTTTTGATCCAAGGTTATCCAGGAGTGTGTTTCTTATTTCTGAGTGCTTCAGTGGGATCTTTCAACTGCATACACACAGTTATTTCTTTTCTTTTCTTTTAAATTAAAGGCATAAATAACTAACAGTCAGGGGCTCATGGTGAGTGTGAAGCAGTTTTTCCTCAAGTAGTGAAATTAGCTGAATTGGCTGTTGGCCTGTGAGGCCTTATCACAGTAAAGAAGGACTGTCTTTGGGCTCTTTGAAGACTTGGGAAAGGCTGGTGCTGCTCTTACAGATCTCTGGGTAGAGAATCACAAAGTAGGTGGATATATTGCCTTCTGACCTTTGCTCAGAAGGACTTACACAACTCTTCTTTACAGCTATCATCTCTCCTTTCTTTTTTTTTTAATGAAACTGACATCATTACCAACTGCGCTAACAAAGCACCTTCCAATTTTTTATTTCCAGAAAAATAATTCTGAGTCCGGCATTATGTTTGGATACTGGATTTTTTAAAATTAAGTAAACGGCATAAATAGTACTGTGTATAGCAGACATTTCATGTTGAAAAAATACAATGCTTTTACGAACAGTAATATCTTTTTCATGTATTTTGAGGTCATAAGTGTAAAAATGCTCAAATCCTTTTTCCCTCACAGACGGAGTATGCAAGGTTTGAGAATGGCCGATTTGTATACCGAATAAACCGCTCCCCGATGTGTGAATATATGATCAACTTCATCCACAAGCTCAAACACTTACCAGAGAAATATATGATGAATAGTGTTTTGGAAAACTTCACAATTTTATTGGTAACTGTTTTGTCTCTTCCCTGTTTTGGCAGACTCAGCCCTGAGGCTGGTGGGGAAAGGCTGGGACGGGTTTGGGGGGAGAGTCCTGGGAGGCACCGGGGCCTGGGCCAAGGCAACTGACCAGCTTGTTGGGTTGGGCCCCGGGTAGTCAATCAGCAGTTGAATTCACATATTCATAGGGTAAACCTGGCCTTGGTTTGGGCTCAAATCTGTAGAAGAGAAGGGGTCTCATCTGGTGGGGGTTTATAATTTTGACAGAATTGGAATTCAGGAGGGTCATAAAAAGTGAGGGACCTAGGTTCTCAATTCTGGCTACACATTAGAAAGACCTGGAGAAAGACCTTGGTATCTAATATCCTGATACAAAGACTGTAAACTGTGTCCATTGAATCAGGATCTCTGAGGATAGGACCCAGGCATATGTATTTTTTTAAAGTTCCCCAGGTAATTCCAGCATTAGCCATGTTTGAGTCTTGGCAGCAACATGAGGCAAAAAGCTGAGTTAGGAGGTTTGTAATTTGAACAAACCTTGATTCGTTTCCTGGAGGATTTGCAAGGCCTTCTAAGAAGTAACGTACATTAAGACAGCAAAATATGAGCTCTCAGTATTAGAAGGAATGTAAGTTAGACTAGAATGCCATAACCAGGAAGGGTTGGAAATATTCTCCAGTGGCTAAAATGTATGATCAAAACGTAATGGGCAGCTAAAGGAAAAGGGGGGGGAAAATGGTGCTCAGTGTCCACAATGGGAAAACTTTCTGGTTCCGCTGGGCAGTGCTGTGTGGGAGTTTTTCCCCCTTAATATTTAACTTTAAAACAAATTTCTCATGGAGGTTTCATTGGGGGACTTGGGAACGTTATTACAAATAGTGTTGTCCTCAAAATATACCTCTAAAATATATACAGTAATGGGTTTCATATGGCTCATTTTAAAAAATATAACATTCCTTAAACTGAAGGAAAAATGCCCAAACAAAACTTGGTTGGAAGAATTTTGCTGAAAGGGGCAGCAAAACAATGTTGTGGTCAAATGGCCTGCTTTGTGACTAGGATCAAGGACTAGAACATTAAGAGCAGGAATTCTTTACCTTGGGTTTTTGGATTCATTCAGCCCATGGTCCTCAGGCACTGGTGGGCTGGGAAATAAAAAGCTCTACCTCAACACCCCCCAAAAACCCTGATTGTAAATATGCCCTCCATGGGCAATTTCAAGCTACCAGTGGTTATCCAGCTCATGAAAGTCCTTAATATTTAACAATGACTTTCAGCAGCCAGTAGGAGCCAGTTCCCTCACACCAATGTAAAAAAAAAAAATTAATAAATAAAAATTGTAAGATGCTTAGGTGTAAGCCCCACGTCAAGGAATAACATCAGAATCCCCAGGTAGTTGTGCACAGAGGGTTGAAATCCCTGCTCTAAGGGACTGGCCAATGAGCCAATTTTCATTTATTCCACGGAGAGAACCTCAATGGACTCTTAAGTGCGTCCAGGTCCCTCTGAAATTTAGAAACTGGCAGTCTGGGGGGAAATTTGGAAAACATGCTCTTTAGTAACTAGTCTTCATTGGTATCCTTTGGTGAACATTGAGCAGTTCAAGGTTTCAAGTGCTGGCAGGTCCTTGTCATATAGGTACTCCCTTGTATTTAAGAACAGATCACCTTAGTGCTCAGCTTAGCAGAAGGTGAGTGTGGCATCCTGCTATGGACATGCAATAGCCTCAGGAATTAACCACAACGCTCCGGGTAGATGGCCACTTCACCTCTTTTGGAAGGAGTTTTAGCTATTTTTTGAAAACCACGAAATGCTGTGTGATTCAGCATTTTAAAGAACATGTGCTCAGTCCCTAAAACCCTACCTCACGGAGCATAGCCGAGGACAATGTGCCTGGAAAAATTAAAAGCATCTATTACCCATAAAACCCGTGTAACTGTATTAGTCATGCTCCCTTGGAACATGTGGCTTCACGCAGCATAGACAGCTGGAGGACACACCATGTTCAATTTCAAAAGGTATCCTCAAGCAGCTACGTAAATTCCTCCGATATGCAGAATGAGTAGCTATCAATAAATATCTGCTTGAATACTATTGTAGCTTTAGAAAAGCTGAAAGTAAGCCAGCACTCCTGGGTTATGAGAACAAAATCATCTCATTGATTACAGGAGCAAGAGTACCTTTCCGCTTTTTCTCGGGGTCGGGGTAGGGTCACAGTCGGGGTAGGGTCACAGCTGCTGGACACCGTTGTCGGGGTTTTACTAGGTGCCTTGGACACGAAACCTGTGTCAACAGGACCATTAGACCCGACGGCCTGGTGGGCTAGACTGTCTGATTTCATCAGGATTATTTGGGAATTGAGGTGAACCTGTAGATGCGGGCCTTAGAGACAGCATCTAGACAGACGGAGGAAGACGGCAGGTGAACCATAGGCCAAGTCTTCCTGTCTTCTTTTGAGGTTGTATTCAGAAATACAGGTGGCTAGAAACTTTGTTTTCTTTCCTCCTTTTGAATCTTAATCATGAAGCCTAAATAGGATATATTCTTCCATAGAAAATTTGCAAGAAGGGAGGCTACATCACAGGTGTTCCAGGCACGTGTTAAACCTTTTGTAAATGTTACAAAATGAAATTCTCAGTGCAGAATTATGAGGTCATTTTTATTACCATTTTATGAATAAGGAATGTTAGGTCCACCCTAACACGTTAGGTCACAAAGCCAGTGATAGACATACACTAACACTTGAATTGATGGAAAGGACACTTTGCAGAATATTTCACAATCATGGAATCAGAAGACTTGGGTTTAAGAGCCAGCTCTATTTTATGACCTGGGGCAGTGATGGTGAACCTAGGACACGCGTGTCAGAGGTGACACGCGAACTCATTTTTTTGGTTGATTTTTCTTTGTTAAAGGGCATTTAAATATATAAAATAAATATCAAAATATAAGTCTTTGTTTTACTATGGTTGCAAATATCAAAAAATTTCTATATGTGACACGGCACCAGAGTTAAGTTAGGGTTTTTCAAAATGCTGACACACCGAGTTCAAAAGGTTCGCCATCACTGACCTGGGGTAAAGTCTCTCCACCTCTATTTCCTCCTCCTTTGACAACCAACATGCTCAAATCTGCACTCTCCACCTCAGGGGTTATTGAGGATGTTTTCATTCATTCAGCTGAACTCCGGAGAGATTGTACTAGCTGCTGGAATACAATGCAGATAAAACTCACATTGTCCCACAGTAAATCATGGCCTGGTGGAGAAAAGAGGCAGGTACATAATTGATTGCAATACAAAGTCATCATGGCTGTAGTTACACTTGAGAATCAGGCACTACGGGAGTACAGGATAGTTTACCTGAGCAGGTACCTGTAGTTGGGGTGAGGTGGGGAGTCCTCGGGAATGTTAAAAGATGGTGTTTAAGTTGCCTTGATGGATAAACAGACATTTTTCAGATTTACCAAGAAAAAAATGGCCATTTCATGGTGCATAGTTAAGTGTCAGGTTCTAGGATTTGGTGAACCGGACAGGGGAGGCAGCCATCCTGGAGTCAGGTGAAGGAGGCAGGCATTCCCCAAGTAATCACCAAATGAATGTAAACTAAACAGTGGCTGATGGCTGCCCAGCTAGGTGCGTGGTGCCAAGGAGGCACGTATAGTTCTGGAGGTCACAGACAGTTTCCCTAAGGAAGAAGCAGTTGAAAGATAGCTGCTGGATGAACAGGCAGAGGGTCGGGAAGGATACTGCAGAGAGGCAGGCAGGCGGCGCAGGTCGAACTGAAAATAGGGTCGTGTGGCTGAGAGGGAGGGGAGCACGGAGCAGTGAGCTGGCTGGGGAGGAAAGGCCAGACTGGGCAGGGGCTCCTCCACCTAGGAGGATGAGAACAGGTTTTCTCTTTATCCTAAAGTTCAAAGTTTAAAAGAGGCCATCAAGGTTTTTTTGTTTTGTTGAGAGAGAGAGAGAGAGAGAGCAAGCCATTGTTTGTTGTTCCACCTATATATGCATTCATTGGTTAATTCTGAATGTGCCCAGAGTTCTCGAACCCGAAACCTAGGTGTATCGGGGCAGTGCTCTAACCAACTGAGCCACCTGGCCAGGGTCACATCAGGGTTAAGCAAGAGTGTGTTGTTGTCAGATTTCTGTTTCTTACGAGGGTTTTGCAGCTGCTGTGTGCCGATGGGTCTCGGCCGGGCAAGGGTGGCTCCTGGGGTAGGAGTCCAGGTGAGGTTGCTGGTACCTTGGTGGTGGAGAAGGGGATGGATTCAAGAACTATTCAGGAGTAAATGCAGTAGGACATGGCATTTGTTCGGTATGGTGACGAGGGAGAGAGAGGTTTCAAGGATGAAAGAACTACCTGCTTGCAGTATTTGATCTGTGAGGGAAGCAGCAGGAATCAAGACTAGAAAAGCATGTGGGTACCAGTATTGAAAAACATATTTATTGCCCACAAAAAAAACAAATGTAGATAATCCGTTACTGTGTCAGTTGTCTAGAGCAGCATGATATGACGGCTAAGAAAAAGGTCTTCAGCATTAGAAGATCTGGATTCCTTAGTTGGCAATTGTGTGTCCTTAAATAGATTCCTTGTCTGTCAGAGGAGGAGGGATATAGCACCTGCTCATAGAATTCTGTTATATCACACGAGACAATACGTGTAAAGCATTTAATATGGAGTACATGTGTACTAAGTAGTTGATATATGTTGGCTATTATTATGTGACTTTTCATTCATCCAGCAAATATTTATTAAATGACTATTATGTGCCAAGTTAGTTACTGGGGAATGTGGTCCCTGTTCTTCAAGAACTTGCAGCCCACTGGATGTGATGGGCATTTTTTAAAAATCATACAAATCTATATGTACTTAAGGATGGTATAGACTGCTGTGATAGGAAAATCACAAATCCTGTGAGACTTTATTTTTAGTCAGGGACCATACACTCAGAGGCCTGAACCGTAAGGGAAACTAAGTGGGCGAGGCAGCCTGATACCTAGGGGGGAATGAGACCCACGGCAAACTGGACGAGGCTCTCAAATTCAAAATCTTTGAACACACTGAGCTGGACTAACGAAACACTCATGTAACAGAGTCAGAGAAGCATTTTGAAGAGGAAAGTTGGGTTAGATTTGCTTTTAGAAAGTTTCTTCTGAGAGTGGCATGGGGGATGGAGAGAGTGAGGAGAGGAGTGAGGTAGGGTCCAGTGGGGAGGGGCTGCCATGATCTGGGCTAGAGGACTCAAGGTCTGAACGGCGGCTGAGAGTGGGCGTGAGGAGGAGAGAGATGGGCTGGAGCCGCTCGACTCAAGAGGGGAGGCAGATATTCCAAAATACATTTTGAAAAGTAAAGCCTCCATAAATTAAAAGAAGGATCATTTGACATGATGCTACCACTGTTCCTTTACTCAGCATATATTTTACTGATCCAGGCACTGCTAGTTAAAAGTGGCGAGCAAGGCACTCACGAAACATATCTATCATTGGCTATCGTGAGAGAAATTTAATAAAAGTTTAGGAATAAGATAGGAGACAGTTCTTAGGATAAATGACTGCCTCATGGGACAGGATTGTAGGAAATTGTTGTAAAGAAATCAACTTCCGCCCACCCCCTCGCCCCCAAAGCTCACACTAATTCTCTGGTCTCTCTGGGGCTCAGATTACGTGTGAGACCCTTTCTGTAAGGTCCTTCCTACATACGGTAACTCGGATGGGTTTCAAATCCAACCCACAATATCCTGAATTCCTGCTAGAGGGGCAGCGTGAGGCTGTTGGACTTTAGACTGTTCCTCTCCAAGGAAATCAGAGCCATCACAGCACAGGTGGAATATGCTTTCATCCATGTGGTGTTTTTATTTATATATGTGTATATATACTTTTTTTTTAACAGGTGGTTACAAACAGGGATACACAAGAAACTCTCCTCTGCATGGCCTGTGTATTTGAAGTTTCAAATAGTGAACATGGAGCACAGCATCATATTTACAGGCTTGTAAAGGACTGAACATGGTTATTTATATATATAGATATCTGTATATACACACACACACATATGTGCACACACACACACTCTCCATTTTCGAACGACTGACTGTAAACCTCCCCATGCAGGGGTGGTGCCCTGGCCCTGCGGTCACCCTACTTTTCTAAGTCCTGTTTGAGTGAAGTCATTTTTCCATGTGTTCATACTATCATCGTAGCTGTGAAGTTCTGGTACAGTTGTAAAAAGAGAAATCGAGTTGTTCCTCTGTGTCCCTCAGATCTGCAGCCCACAGTTCCTCGGGAAAGGTGAACCCTAGAACCCGTCTCTGCCCACAGAGGCCTATTTCTAATTGTGGTAAAAAATATTCAGACAGAGCATTTGCCGTGGGACATTTACAGCCTTTATACAAATGTATTTAGTTCTTTCTTTTTTTTCCAACATAAAATTCTTGTTTTAAGATACAAGTAAAATTAATCTTTAAATATAAATGTAAATTTAGTATACAACACTAAGAATCTTTAGACTTATCTTTGTAACTAATTAGGGTGGAAGTTATGAAAGAATGTAATTCACTAAATTATTTTTTAAATGAAACTTTTATTTCATTTTGAAACCAAATGTTAAAATAATAGCCTTAAGAAATGCTTGGTAGAAATATCCTAATGAGAAAAATTTGTACTTTTTTCACAAGGTTAAAACTAATCTCCTAATCCATTAAACGCTTGAACAGGTATTACAAAGGAAGAAAACTTCACCCCTTATCCTTAACATATATAGTATATTTAAAAATATAAAATTGTATTGTTACTAATGTGATGATTGATTATTTAATGAAAAAGAAAAGATGGCTCTTTTTGCAATAAGTAGATAAATATTGAAAATCTAAACTTACAATGTTTATAGTCTTGTGTGTGCAGTTATATTTTATATGGACAACCAAATTTTTTTATTAAGATGAGTATTTGAACCACTGAAATTTAATAACAAAAAATTTTAATTGGCATGAATACTGCACTGTGAGCTACAAAGTATAGAAAATTCTGTGGCTGGGAAAAAATTGCATCAACCAAACAAGGAAAAGGCTCATCAGTTTTAGCATCTCTGCTCCCCCGAAATTGGCAAGCATCCTCACTAGCCTGTGGATAAATTGTTTATTTCTGGTGATCCAATAGGCCTATTAACCTGCTATAACTATATGTATATGTATGTGTTTGTGAATACATATACATATATAGCTATTCATCACGTATTTATTGCACACCTAGTTAGTGCCACTAAGTTTGCTAGGTGCTGATATGTATGTATATTTCAATCTGTCTCTATAGATCTAGATATATTCTCTAAGGACATCCATTTTCTTCTCTCTCAATAAGTCACAGCTCTTGTTTGACCGAGGTTTAAGAGGCCCACCTTATTTATCTCTGACCTTTCAAACAGGCTCATGTGGGAGGTTCTCTTCTCAGGAGAGATTCAGCTGATCAACCCAGATATTCCAAAGCGTGGCAGGCTTGGTGTGATGTAGCCACGTGCATCTCTTTCCACCGGGCTTCGCTGGTAAACACCCACAAGGACACACCCCCAACTTCCCAGAAGAAAGTGACATTTCTGTAAATGTTGGGAACATGCTAACACAACAGAATGTGAAATAAGTTTTCTAAGATGTGAAACATATCAAGACTTTTTCATCAAGCCAGAAAATAACAGCTTTGTTCTGCCCCATCAAGTAACTTATATACCCCTTCCTGTCTCCCTGTCCGCTCTGACCCTGCTTGCACACTGGTTAGGATCTGGTGGTCTTGAGCATGAGGGTGTGCCGGGCTGGTGACCAGCATAACACTGGGCCACACCTGGCCTCTTCCAAACTCACCACTGGTTCACTGGAAGACCAGAGGAGAAAGTGCAAAACCTTCCCCATTGGGAGTGCACGCCCCTTAAGGAAGCCAGTAGGAGGGTGCCCATCTTCTCTCCAGAAAGAGACTGACGGCCTTTTGTCCCCTGCTTCCCAGTGGGCCCTTGAAGGATTGCCCCCGTTGTCTGCTCTTCCTTCGGGTCTTCAGCCCGAGCATTGAAACTTCTTCTGTTGGTCATCCATCCGAGGGATGTTGCTTTTGCTCCTGTCTCTTGTATTTTCCCTCAAGGGAACCCCCACTCTTAAAAGAGCAGGACCCCAGAACTAAAGGCATGCACATGATGCACGTGGCTTAAAGCCAGGTCATCCCAGAGCTCCAGGGAGCGAGGTAGCAAAATGGACCCCAGGAAACCCGCTAGAGCAGTGATGGCGAACCTATGACACTCATTTTTTTGGTTGATTTTTCTTTGTTAAATGGCATTTAAATATATAAAATAAATATCAAAAATATAAGTCTTTGTTTTACTATGGTTGCAAATATCGAAAAAATTTCTATATGTGACACGGCACCAGAGTTAAGTTAGGGTTTTTCAAAATGCTGACATGCCGAGCTCAAAAGGTTCGCCATCACTGACCTAGAGGGTAGTTCTATTGGCTGCAGAGAAGGGCATCCCTGGTCACCGACTGCGGGTCAGGCCAGGCCTCTGCTGCTGCACCGCCAGGGTCCTCCTCCGAACCCTTTTGTAGTTGAATTTGGGGGGCTTACATAAACAATCCTGAGGCTTACTTTTTGCTCTTAAATCTTTCTGCTTACATCTTTTGCTCTGAGACGCTTTAAAGTTATTTCTTGTCTTATTCTTCTCAAGTTTTCTCCAGGGCAGATCTTTCCCTATCGTACCCACAGGACCGGTCACCCAAACCCTCGGCCCTCTCTCCATCTCTCCCAGATTAGACCCTGGGGTGGCATTTGTGTAAGATCTAATCTGAGTCTGTCTTTGGTCTTTTGCCCTTCATGGCCGTCCTCTCCCTCTGTTGGAAAGCTCGCTGCACCGCAAAGCAGTCTTTCCAGAGCATGGCCCTCACTGCTCTCTCCCCTGGTGACTCTCCTCTGCTGCCAGGTGTGATTCAGAGACATTGCAGGCTTTCTCTTTGGACAATTGGAGGCCAAATTGTCACTCCTAAGCAGGGGGTAGCTGAGGAACCAGCTGCTGGTCTGTTGCCATTCTTTTCCGCCTACGAAAAATCATGACTTCTTCAAAAACATGTCCCAGGATTCCAGAATGTCCAAACTGCCCGAGACCAGTGTCAACCTCAACATTGTTGACGTTTCATACCAGGTAATCCTTTATCCTTTATTGTGCAGGGGTGTCCTGTGCATAGAGGAGGTGTTGCAGCACCCCTGGCCTCTGCTCACTAGGTACCAGTAGCACCTCTTCCCTCAGTTGTCACAACCAGAATGTCTTCAGCCATCACCAATGCCCCATGGGCACAGAGTCACCCCTAATTAAGAATCACTGTCCTAAACTTCACAGGTCCCACATACCATATTTTACCCTGCGATAATATCTCTCCTGTGTCAGATGTCAGGAGGCAGGTAGAAATATTATACAAGTGACATTGTGTCCATGCTTCTTCCCGTTTCAGAACTTCTGTTTCACACGTCTCTTTTACCACAAGCATTTATGCTTCTACTATTGGTCACCCATCTTAGGGATGTTGCTTCTGTCTCTTGCATTCTTTCCCTCCTGCCGGGGGAAGCTGGGAACAGCTGGTCACGATCATCCCAGCAATCAAAGAGCATTTCTAATTTGATCTTCAATCCTTAGTTTACCGGATTTAAAAGATACACAGCTATTTTCATTATTTCTCATAAGCTTGTGGGTCTCATTATCAAACCTTCCATCGTTTGGGTAGATTTCCTCTGGTCTTCTGCTTTTCTGCCTGTTTATATCTGCAGAAGCTTCGGGAACGTGTCTTTTCACCTTCAGGGATGGAGGAAAGGGGATCCATTCCGGGAGGGGGCTGATCGAAGTTCTTGTTTATTGAGCTAAAGGAGAGCACAGTCTACTCTCCTTCACTGTGTGGATGAGGAAGTTGAGGCTCAGCGTGGCCAGTGACAGGATAAGGGTGAGGCTCTCACACTCCTGCCACTTACTCCTCGGCCTCTTCTGGTGGAAGTTGTTCTTCTTTGGTGCTCATGCTTCAACGACCCCCACAGACGTGTGGACGGGGTCCCTTCAGAAGAGAGGGAGAGGAAGAAACCCGCTGCCAGAGCCACAGCATTGTCCCCAGGCGGCAGCTGCTTCCCATGTGGGCAGGTCAGACAAGACCCTGAGGGGGTAGTGGGAGGTCACCACAAGCAGATAGGCAAGCTGATGAGCCTTTTTGCTTCCTCTGAGTTCAGTTCCCCTGCCACAGGCTCAAAGTTCCCATTGCTAAGCATCCCGGCAGCCAAGTCCCGCACTCAGGCCAGCTAAAGCGCAGGCCCGTTCCAAGCACTTGGTAGGCAAGTCCCCAGGAGACTTGAAAACCCAAGTCTTTAGGTTTCAATACTGTAGTGGCTTCAGCAGTTTGTTTTTGTATAACCATAAATTACTTCAGTCACGAGACGACAGTCAGTTTTACAAACCAGGTACATATCATTGGTATGATTTTGTATATGCTCTGGTACACTGCCCCTGTCCTAACGAAGGGAGAACCAGTCTCGTTGGTCCGTGTTCTCACCGGTGACCTTGAGAGGACATGTCTGCACCGCTCACGTCTTTATGTTGCTGTGTCTGCAGCAAAGCCCTCTCGTTTCTGAAAAGCCTTAAATCTTTGAGATGTCGCGTGGAGGGTGTGCAGTGCAAAAGGCTGCCTCGGAACTGTGAGCCCTTTTGTAAGCTGGAAGCATTTCTCTTACTACTGTTACTCTTTTTAGGAAGTTTTAAATTCAGAGCTGCCAAAGCGTTCCAGTAAGCAGTGCCTTAGTGATACATTAGTCGCGCCACCAGCCTTGTCTTACACCTGTTCTCAGTGCCCATTGACTAATTGGCCCCATGTTTAAAACAGAACAAGCAAAAATTGTTTCCCTTTTGTTTATTAAGCCCATTTTTCTCCAGTTCTACAAGAAACTGACTACTTGGTCTACAATCGGAAACTGAACGTAAGTCAGTCCTCTGACCAGACTCTCAAATGTAGATACCAAAACGAAAGGTTTTTGCAATTTCATAGTTGACTATGAAAAGCAAATTGTACTTTTTAATGTTGCCTTTTAAATTCACGACCAAATACTTAGCTATTTGTGAGTCTTCTGCACTCCAGCATGAAAGTGCCTTTGGTTTGAGATTCCAGCTTAGAAAAGTGCTGCCATAATAACGATCACTTGTAGAGAGACCAAAAATATATTGAGATCACCGTAATGCCTTTGGTTTACCGGGATGAGTAACCAGCCACAGGCCTCTGTCCGCAAGAGCACGACGTGGACCCCGCCCGCTGGGAGTCTGTCTGCCGTGGGAGAGCCCCTGCCACCGCCCACCAGGAGCACGCTGCTGCAGGAGCGACCCAGAAACTGCTGTGTTTGTGTGTGCCAATGACCCTGGTGTCATCTCCACTCGCCACCCAGCCCTGCACCCCCGTGAGGGAGCATCCACACCAACAGCAGACTCTCGGCCAGCGGATAGATTCCGTGTTCCGTCTCTGCGGAGGCTTTCTTGTCCATTCAGACGACCGTGCGCACTTGTGTGTTTTACACAACGATACCATTTTGCAAGTTGGAAGCCTCAAACTGAGATGACAGTGCAGAACAAAAGTGAGTTAGGGTCATGACAAGTGAAGTGTTCTTAGGGCAAAAATATTGACTCCAAGTGTCTTGTCTGAGAAACTTCCAAAGAATTCACAATTCGGCGTTTTCAAAGAAGGTTCCAGCCCTCAAAGGGGCCGTATTGGCTTTTATCAAAACCTTGTGTACATTGGGAAAGCTGATAGAGGTGAGAAAGAGGAGGGAGAAGGACAAGAAGGCAAACACACTAGCCAAACAAGGAAAAAAGATGTTTCTTT